CCCCAAAACCCCAAAACCCCAAAACCCCAATTGGGAGAGATATAGTTGAATTTGAAATTATAAATGAAGGCTTAGGCAGGTTGAAGAGGGCAGTTAGGTGAAATCGAAGAGGCCTTGGCGAGGATCTATATGTAGGGTTAGGAGGGATATTACCTCTTTCAGTCTTCAAATTTACTTTTGCTGAATCTTGGCTACTCTTCAGTCCATTAGCCTTGTCATCAGTATGAAGATTTCCTCTAGGTGTAAGCTTAAAATGCTTCACCGATTTAAGTTTGGTAAGTGATGAGAATTGGACTTGACCACCAGTCTCAGCCATTCTGGGAGTTTGCTTCGTAAGATCAACAGTATCTATTAGCCCTTTATTGATAAACTTCTTCGTCAAAGAGTCTTTTGGAGTACTCTCATATCCTTCTGTCTTAAACTGAGTTTCTATGAGGAATTAGAGAATAAAATTACCTTCACCAGACTCTTTGTTTCTACTATGAGGGAACAAATCTGGTTTCTTGAATGTGGAGTTCAGATCGATGACTTGTGAACCTTCTAACTTTCTTGACTTTTTAATCACAGGGATCCGCTGTGTCTTCTGTAATATTTCAAGTGTATTATCTTTTTCTTCTTCAATTTTCTTCTTTTTCTTTTTGCTTTTATTTTTGTTTTTGCCTTTGCTCTTCGACTTGTCTTTCCTTGATTTTTCTTTCTTATTTTTAGTCTTACTTTTGTCCTTCTTACTCTTTTTCTTCTTCTCTTTGGTATCTAATAAAGTATGGTCGTCGTTTAAAGTGGAGTTCACTCTATTGAGTTGTAAAGTTTCAGTTGGTTCCTCTGTTGGTAACTTTCTTCTGGATTTAGAACCAAAGCAGGCGAAGAGGGAAGCGCTTCTTCTTCCCCTTTTCTTACTCCTGCCTCTCACAGTCTCTGCTCCATTGCCAAGGAGCATAGTTAATAAGTCACCGAAGACATTTTCAGCCTTCTTGAGACTATCTTGGATTATTTTAATTCCTTCATTTTTAAACTGTTTATCTATCTTTCTCTTCTTTTGCTTTTTACCTGAATTTCCAGTTGCAACTCTGATCATCTCTACGTCAATGACATCATCTTCTGCAGTCTCATTAATAGTTTCTTTTGTTCGTTTTTCAAAAGCTCTGCTGGATTCGTGTATGGAGAGTCCAGGCTCTTCAGTCTGCTTCACTTCTTCAAATGACTCATCTTTTTGAGAATGAGATTCATATTTTGAGCTAAAACTTTTCACAAATTCTGAAGGAAGAGATTCCTTCAAGTTGTTGATGATGTTTATCTCTCCTTTTATGTCAGGAATATCCTTTTTGACTGTACTTAGGCTTGACTGTTCAGATATAGGCTGCTTCTCAGCATCTGATTGATCCATCACTATATCTCTTGCGAATGGAGTGTCTTCCTTCTCCTCTACTTTTGAGAGCTATGGATGAATAGAGAGACTTACCTCATTCCAATCTTGCCTGACTATATCCTGGTTTGATCCTTTAGAGATTGGGGATAAGTTCTGAACGCTTTCTTTTAAAGCTAGCTTAGACATATTATTTTTCTCAAATCTTGGATGGCTTCTCATAATGTGCTTCTTAGAGAACAAAATAGAGCTAGTGTTATTTGAATCCTTATGGTTATTCATATATGTCCCGCCTTTAGCATCACTAATCTCGCTTTCACTTGAGTCATCTCTTTGGGAGAGTTTAGTGTTAATTTTATCAATTAGCTCATCAGTAAAATGCTGGATCTCATTCCTCTGCCTTTTTGCAACAGATTTTCGAATATTAGGGTGGTTATTTTCTTGGCAAATATCCTTGAGTTCTTCTTTGGTGCAGAATTTAGACATTAGCTTATCAACTTCACCTTCAATTTCCTTTTTGATAGTTCTTTTTAGTTCTCCGCTGATCACTGAGTCTTGGCTGTAAGAATTGGAAATTCCTGATGCTCGATGGGGATTTTTGAATCCTCTTATTATACTTTTGTCCTCAAATCTGTCTTCAAGATAAGAAATTTGGATCTTTTTATACTTGTCTCTTTGTGAACCTTCATTTGGACTTGATATTGGCTCAAAAGGACTCCGGTGCTGCTTTGGTCTGTATGGGTCACTATTGCTTCCATTCAGAGAGAAATGAGGAACAAAAACTGTGTTACAGTTTTCATCGACAAACATCAGACTTTCATCTAAATCAAAGTCTGCTGAAGCGAAGCGATCTAAAAGTTCAAGAGTGACTAAAGTTTCTTGGAATCAGTCCATTGAGGAGTTTACTAGCCCAATCATATTTACTGTCATCTGATTACCTATAATGATAAATGTTGAGATCTTACCATCAGCACAAAGCTCATAAAGGAGGTTATTTTAAACTATACATAAAGTATTCATTCTGGTTAGTGCAAATCTCAGGTTCACTTGAGTTATCCTTAGGTGAATACGATGTAGAAGTGAATCCTTTTGAGCATCCAATTGAGTCAAACCCAACAGAGTCAATTATAGAAACTACACCGCTTCTTGATCCGCCGTCAATATTTAGCTCTACCACCAAATGGCTCTGACTTCATGCTGTGTCATAGCTTTCATTTTCTAGTTGCTCGATATATTTAGCTCTTATTGTATAAATTGCTTGAAGAGTGGCCACAGCATCATTTATATCTTCAGCAGTCGCATATGAGCACTCAGCTCTGGCCTCCTTGTATTGTCCTTTAACAAGGTCAATTATCTGGTCTTCAAATACTTCACTTGCCTTTATCTTGAGGTAGGTGTTCATTCCTCTGCTTCTCTCTTGATCAATTTGATAAAATAACGTGACCAGGGTGTAAAATCCAATATTATGTTCATTATCTGAGAAACAAGGTAGCGTCCCCATTATCAAAGATTTTCCAAACGCATTTTCTCCAAATCCCACAAATCACATATTCTCCTTCTCTACCGTCACTTTCTCCCTGACTTGCTCCACTATCTCACTTATAACCGCAATATCACTATCCTTATGGTCAAAAATCCTCCCTCTACAACTAAAATCTCTGCCTAAATTCCTTCCAAACTCACTGTTCCTCTCATAGGAGTACTTATTTGTAGAGTTCGTTGTATTGGGAGTAGAGGGCGACGGAGGAAGAGTTTAGGATGGAGATACAAGGGACGGTGATAGCCTTGCCTCTTTTACCACTTTCTTCAGCAACTGAGGAGATATGGACAAATACGTTTTTGGTCAGCAAACTATTTTTCCCGGACATTTTTGGAGTTTATTTTAATATTTTAAAAATCAAATTTAAATTATATTTTGGGGTTTTGGGGTTTTGGGGTTTTGGGGTTTTGGGG